TCTGGTTTTTTCAGGGATGTCAGGGAGAATCTTATTAGTCATGAGCTGGTGAAGGGCACACCCTGGAATATGAGCCCAGGGGCAATGATGGAGGTCTTTGATATGGAATAGAATCCCTCCTTTATAACATACTTGGTGCCACATTGTAAAAGCCCTACAAGTCAATGAATGGGATGTATGTTGGGAAATGTATTCTATTTCTGGGGAGGAGGTTGTGATGGTTGTCAACTTGGCTGCATCTGGAATTAACTATAACCTAAGTGGCTGGGTACATTGTAAATGAATTTCTAAACAGTCTTATGAATAGAAAACATGGAGCCAGGTATAGGGGTGAAAACCTGAGAGAGATCAGAGGAATAGGCATAGCCACATGCTAGCCTCACCTCACCTACTCCGCAGCTTCCAAAAGCATCAGTTACTTCCTGTCTACCCACGCCTATATGCCTTGCTGTTCTGCCATCTGATTTGCTCTCTCTGTCCAGCTACATCATTTCCTCTTCCTGCCCAGCTCTGTCACTTCCTGTCTGTTTGTACAGACCTCCAGACCTCCATGGTTAACTAGTGTTGGAATTTAAGGCATGTACCACCATGCCTAGCTCTGTTCCCAGTGTGGGCTTGAACTCACAGAGATCCAAACAGATCCCTGCCTCCCAAGTGATAGAATTAAAGGTGTGTGCTACCATTGCCTGACTTCTGTGTTTACTTATAATGGCTGGCTTTTTCCTCTGATCTCCAGGCAAGCTTTGTTTATTAGAGCACAAATAAAATATCACCACAGTACACCTGTGAGGGAATTTTTTAATGAAATCATTTGAAAAGGAAAGACCCCCCTTTAATCTGAATCTTTTGAGGTGGTAAGATCCACCTTTAATCTGGGCCACACCTTCTGCTGGCAGCCTATGTAAAGGACATGGGAGAAAGAAGCTTGTTCTCTTTGCCTGTTCTTATTCTTGCTGGCAAGTCCATTCCTTCACTGCATTAGAGCCTACTTCTTCGGGAATCTAACATATACTGCAGACCAGCTGAGACATCCAGCCTCATGGATTGAACAGTTACTGGATTCTGGGACTTTCCATTGGTGGCTGGCTATTGTAGGATGAGCTGGACTACAGCCCGCAAGCCACTCTAATACCCCCTCCCCCCCATTCTACCTGGTCTTTTCCTCTGGAGAACCCTGACTAATACAGAGGCATGCACAAAGAGTGTGGAAGAAAATGCGTCCTGGCCTAGAGCTCTGGAAAGGGCAAATTGGCGCTCCAGCGTAGCAGCTATTGCCAGAATTGTGGCCATTCCCCACCAGTCTTCCCCTTGGTATCATAGAGAAGTGTGTCTTCCCACCCCCACACCTTCTGCTCACCTCTGCACACCCTAAGATCGACACATGCTTCTGGTCATCTTGAGTCACTCTTCGGTCAACAGACAGAACTATCCAGCACTCTGCAAACCTTCTCCCAGCTAGCCCTAGGCTCCGAGGTAGCCAGTTCCTACAAAAGGCTTTAAATCCACTTAAATGTAATGAAAACTCACCAAGGAACGCAGGGCAGGGCACAGGTCGGGAGCTATGCAGATATAAGATTGTAAATATAGGTCCCAAGCCCACGCCATTTTTTTGGGAATGCCCTGGACCTTGCGCTCTGGGTCAGAGCTTGGTCTCGGTTATGTCAAATTTCAGCAGGAGCACAAACCTGTTCCTTATCTAGGGGGTTGAATTATGGCAGCTTTAGCTTCGTGTTTAGTAGACAGGTTGGAGGGTATTCACACCCTGCTCGGAAGCTCATCCCACCAACCTAGCCAGAGCTGAGGAAGGACTTCTGCAAATTGCTTCCCAAGCCTCCGCAGGTAGCTCTGTCAACTTCAGAGGCAACCACCTGATCCTGCGGTCCTGAGGACTTGGGCCGCTGCTAGAGCTGGAAGCAAAGGTTTGAAGACCTACGGGCTTGCTGAGATCCGGATCACACTGTAGCTTCGCTTCCTCTCTGATTCTCAGATCTAAGCAGGTGCTTGGGGGCACGCGCTGCGATACGATATGGCCGGTCAAAAGTGTGTTCAAGAGAGACACAGATATTGACGTTGGGGGCAGAGAGACCAGTCAAGCGGCCAAGGCCTGTTCTTGTCTCTTTTCATAGGTTCCAAAGAGCAAGACACTGTGACTCCAGGGGGGACAGATACCAGAGCCACCTTCCCAGAGGGAGAAGATGAAGGTTTGGGAAGTGTAATGATGGACGATTATCCTCAGCGGCCACCCAGGGGTCCACAGACATCGGGAAACAAACGCCTTACTGGAGCACAGCCTGCTCCTGTACCTCACTTGGCAGGTAACCATGGATTGGGGAGCTTTGCCCAGCAACTCCTCTTCGTTGTAACATCGGCTCAAAACTTTGGGAAGGGAGAAAGAAAACCGTATCCAAAGATCCAGGGAGCCAGTGTGTACTACCGTGCCATTCGGGCGCACAGGGATGTGTGCCACATGTGGGGCGGCAGAGAGACTCGCTCAGGCTCAGGCGAGGAGGATCAGCACCGCGGGAATCCAGACTGAGTTTAGTCACTGCAAGTCAGTTCCGACTCTAGGCAAGAGAGCACACCCGCTCATGTTTATTCACGCTCCTTAAACAGCCGGGTTCTTGTACATATTCATGGGACTGCTAACTCAAGTCTAAGGTCTGTCTGTCTGTCTGTCCTATAAGAATGCTGTCTGTTTTCTTTAATACTGCCCCCAACCCCATCAGACAACTTTCAGGTTGCAAAAAAATCTGTTTTGACTGTGGATCTTCAGGGGTTAAATTCGTGGATGAGAGAAGGCGGTCCAGGTGAGAGACTCTCTCTCTAAAGTAATTCCAGCCCCGGGGTGGGGCCTTCAGGATGCTGGAGGCATCCTTCAGCAGCGAGTGAGAGCAACCCCTTCCTATCTCCTCCCCCTCCCTCCCCAGCAAGGGTTTCAACTCTCCAGCTGATGTAGAGGGAGCTTGGCAGGGAGGTCAGTGCCTAGCTGAAGCCCTCCTGGAAGGTCTCAACCTGGCCTTGGTGACCCTGGAGAAGTGTCACATCCTCCTCTGTCTGTCTCTTGACTTTTCTAGGCTGACCCCTTCCTTCGATGTCGCTCTGTACCTATTTTGTCCCTGCTGTCCTGGAGAATCTTCTTCCAGGCTCTGCACATCTCCTTTAGCCCCCATTGACCTGGAACGGTTCCCTGCAAAGTGAGACCACTGAGGCGATGGTTCAAACAGCCCAATTAAAACAAACAAACAAACAACAGAAGAAGCACCACCACCAACAAAAGTCTGAGCAAACATTCTCTTGACCATGCGAGCTAGGAAATGTTTTGGCACACAGCTGCCAGTTATTTGCATGTAGTCTCTGTCCCACCCAATAACTTCGCCTTCTGGGACATCCTGCATGGATCTCCAGCATGGTGGAAACTTAGTGTGGATTTGCACATGTTGAGCTCACTCTCCTGTGATCTAAAAACAAAAGCTGGGGCCCACCCCAAATCTCAGTCTGTCTGTCTGTGTCTCTGTCTCTCTGTTCCTCTCTCTGTCTCTCTTTCTGTGTTCGTGTGTGTGTGTGTGTGTGTGTGTGTGTGTGTGTGTATGTGCTCGTGTGTGTGTGTGTGTGTGTGTGTGTGTGTG